CAAACAATTAACCTTTATTTTTAAAAAGGTGGCTGCTTTGCCTAAACACATTGTTAACCGAATAACATGTGCGTTATATACAAAAGGTCTGGTTTGACTTTTTTTTTTTTTTTTCGATAGCTCTGCAATAATGGTTTCGCAAGGTGAGAGAAAGGTGTTGTTTCTCTCTCTCTCTCTCTCTCTCTCTCTCTCTCTCTCTCTCTCTCTCCATGTGTCTATCTACCTATGTATCTACCTATTTATATATGTATTGACTCTTTATCTCTTTGTATATTTATTTATTTATCGATCTATCTACTTACTTATGTATGTATTAATTTAACTTTTATCTTTTTGCGAATCTATCTATATCTATATGTCTGGCTCCCTCTCCCTCTCTCTCTCTCCCTCTCTGATGAGTCGGTGAAACTCTGACGAAACAGTTTGTCACAGCCCCTCGTTTGTTTTCCTTTTCTCCCTCTCTGCCTACGGTTTACCGGATAACTCTGTTTAACGTTGTATATATAGAGAGAGAAAGTCGGTGAAAATCCAACGAAACAATTTGTCACATTCTCTCGTTTGTTGTCCTCTTCTCTCTCTGCCTACAGTTTACCGGAAACTGTGTTCGACTATATATACCATATCTATTTATTTATCCATTTACCTGCCTATCTCTCTATCCATATGTCTATTTATCTCTCTCTCTCTATCTCTATGTTTGCCTTCTCTAGGTCTCCCTACCCCTCTATTTATATATTTATATTTCTCTCTATCTATTTATTTATATTTATTTTTATCTACTTATTTATTTGTTTGCCTATCTATCTATTTATCTCTGTATTTATATTTTTCTTACCATTTATATCTACCTATATTTATTTATATTTATATATTATATATATATATATATATATTTATTTTAAATTATTTATTTATTTGTATGAAATTGTATCTATATTTATATGTTAATCTATCTATCTATGTCCATCTATGAATTTAAATTTATCTGTCTATCTATTTGTTTATCTATTTTTATTTCTCTATATATATCTATCAGACTATTTATTTGTTTATCTATACATATACATTTATGATTTATCTATTCATCTATCAAATTTATGTATCTATCTAATCTATTTAATATAATATCTACCTATCTATCTATCGACTTTATATATCTAATATAGCGGGTCAATTAATTTAATCCAATTGGTGGGGTGAACTACAGTCTGCCCAAGTTAACAAAAATAAGTTAGTAAACATCAAAAAGATGGGTATCCACATAGAATCATGTATTGATGTACCAATTTTTCATATATTGTGAGTAGGTAATGGTCCAATTTCTTCAATTATGCATCCATGAGTTCCAATGTTGTTGCATGTCTTGCTGTGTTGATGCCCTGCTGATGATAGGCATTTGTAGGGTGACTTTCTGCATCTTAGAGGCGGTACAAACTCACAGTCTATTCGGTTTTCCATACCACACGACTAGGTGACATTCCACTCCGTTCCTCACTGTGTTCGTGTGTTGCTAAGTGTTTTGTTGTGTTGGTGTCCTGCCCGCCCGCTTGCCCAGCAGCTCCTTACCTCCCCTCTCTCTGGTCACTATGCTCCTTTACGGTCTCGCTGCTCGTCGGGCTGACCTGCTGTTTGCCTCTCCTTGCCATGCATTGAAGTTTATTTTAATTATCAAAATTGTGTCGCATAAGTAGCGACCTGCACGAATGGTGTAACGACTGCCCCGTTGTCTCCAACATGGGCTCGGTGAAATTGAAATCTCTGTGAAGATGCGGAGTACCAGCGGCTAGACAGTAAGACCCCATGCACCTTTACTACAGCTTTGCATTTGACAACCATTGAGAGGGCACTTTATCCGGCACGGAGCGCCCTTGTTGAAGAACAGTCGCTAAGTGAGTAAACCATTCTTTTGTAAGTCAAAATAGTTGCTAAGTGAGTAACCATTCTTTTGCAAGTCCATCAAAAGCGCTTTGCGCCTTTCCAAGAGTCATATTACGAAACTTACTATTAAGAATTTAGGATCTGCAAGAAGACCTATTACATCCGTATATCTGCCCGAGAGTTTGTATTCTCTCAACGGAGAAGAAAAACCTCCGCAGATTTTATCCGGAGGAAGACTCTTGTTCGTATGCGGAGTCTGACTGACCTTCTTCGCTGCCGCTAAGGGTGGGTTTCCCTCCCCAACTACTATAGGTATGTGTTGCAACCTAAGTTGCTTACATCCCGTGGTTACATAGATCTGGCTTTTATGTAGTTGAACACCGGTTGCCACATAGCCCTTGTTCATTTATCCACTAAATCGTCCTACAAGGTAGGCACCCCCAACTTCATGCTGATTGGGCGGACCGTGATAAGGGAATCAGTCATGACCACATCGCGAATGCAACGTCAGCCCACGAAATTGTGTTGGCTATTCTACACCAGAAACCTTTTGTGTCATGCTTGATGCCTTGTTTTGCCTTGCTGCCCTGCCTGAATTACTGCCTGTGCCTTGCTTACAAGGTAGGCACCCCCAAGTTCGTGCTGATTGGACGGACCGTGATAAGGAAATCAGTCATGACCACATCGCGAACGCAACGTCCGCCCACGAAATTGCGTTGGCTATTCTACACCAGAAACCTTTTGTGCCGTGCTTGATGCCTTGTTTTGCCTTGCTGCCCTGCCTGAATTACTGCCTGTGTCTTGCTTCTCAATATGTTGCCTTTGTCCATGCTGAACTCCATGTTTTCATGTGTTTCCCCATCAGTTGGTTATGACTCAAATATTATTCGGACCCCCCGCAGATTGTAGAGGGTTCAGCCTCATGACGAGTCGGTGCAAGCCCGATGAAGCATTGTCAACTTCTTTTTGTTTTCCAGCATCCTTTGTTTCTTCAAGTTTCAAATTTGCACCCGTCTTTTCCCTTGCCCTTCTGCAGTTCGTGGCCTTTTCATGTTAGCATTTGGCATACCTGGCCGCCACCTTGTTCTTCGAGTGTCCTGCATGTGACAAAGAGGTGCTCTGTCGTGCGGAAATGGGCTTTTTTTTCCCTTTTTTTTGCTTAAACCAGTAGTACCTCCGAGCCTGTTTTTGCCGACCCTGGATTTCACTGCGCACCGAAATCTGCCGAGCCTGGGTGTTTTCTTCTCTGGTACTCTTCGGGGAGAAAAAAAAGAACAACAACAAAAAGAACAAAAGAAAGGAACAACCCTACGGATGTTAAAGCATGTGCATGCAGAACCTGGGGCACATGTGAGACTACGCCCTCCCAACGGGCAGTTACACCGCCCCTGTATTCACGGGATGAGCCAAAGCAAAAAGAAGTACAGAGAAAAATAAAATAAAATCAAATACTCTTTGGACGTGAAAGCAGCTGTATACAGAATCTGGGGCACATATGACAGTATGCCCTCCAGACAAACGTTACTTCAGGAGCTGTTTTTTTTTTTTTTTTTTTTTTTTTTTTTTTTTTTTTTTTTTTCAGGAGCTGTATTCACGGCAGCAGCAAACATAAGAATCAGCTCGTTGGACGTGAAAGCATCTGGATACAGAATATAGAGTGCAAGTGAGACTGCCTAAGTTGCACGATCCATGTAATTTATTATTATTATTATTATTATTTTCTTTTTAATTCCAAAATAGCACTCGAGGCCTGGGAATTCGATCCAGGTAATTCCAGGTAATTCGCCCTGCCTCCTGGCAGGGCACGAAAAGAGGACGAAAAGAAAACAAAAAAAACAACGACAACCAATAATGAACGTAGCTAAGTTTCTGGGTAGATGCGTTCCTTGGAGTACCTCTGTGAGCAAACCTCCTTCACGGCCTTCCCCGACTTCCTCCCTTTCGACTCTGCTGCTTCTTTTCACTTTTTGTTTTTTTGTTGTTTTGCAATCGGGCCCACAAGCCCCAAACCTAAAGGCTTGCCAGCCTGTCTTAAACACCCCCAAAACACACTCACACACGCTCTGCTCGTGGACATCGCACTTGCTACACGTGCCTTCTCTAAATGGTCAGTTGAGCTCCGTTGGTGGACATCGCACCTACTACATATGCCCTCTCTAAATGGCCTGCTGCAATGAGAGTGCCGCAGTCTTGAATACCCCCAAAACACACTCACACACCCCACACATGCCAGCACTCCCCCGACCCACTTCCATACACACAATCATTTTTATATACGTCTTTCTTCCTTTTTTTTTTTTTTTTTTTTTTTCCCTTCCCTTGTTTCTTTATATTTTTTTCAAACGGGCGACGGCCTTGAGATATCAGCATTGAACTGACCGGCCCCAGGTAATTAAGAATTACACTATTTTACTCGTCTGCTTCCAGTGGCGTTCCAACTCAGGTCTGTGTTCTAACAGCTCAGGGGGTGCACCAACTGCCGTGTCTGCACTCTTCCGCTGCCTTGCCCCCTTGCTTCCCAGGTTTTTCCATGCAGAGTGCCTGTTGCCTCGTAGTTTGGCTGTGTTGTCAGTGCGCTGCCTTGTGCCTCGCTGCACCGTTGCTTTGCTGCTTGTGCTGCAGTACGTCTGTTTTAAAACGCCAGTTCACGCAAGTTCTGCAGATTGTCCAGGGTTCAACCTCCTCATGAGTCGGTGCAAGTCTGACGAAACAATCTATCATCATTGGCTTTTTTTTCCTTCTTTTCATCGTGCTGTTTTCGATACTCGTAATTTTTCTAGTGCACTAGAAAGCCAATGATGTCTTGCGCTATAATTGTCCTTTTCGCTTGTATAGGTTTGCCTGTTGGTTCTTCAATGCACTAGAAAGGACCCAGTTTTCTAGTGCACTAGAAAGCCAATGATGTCTTGCGCTTGTAACATGCACTGCTCAACACACATGCCGTGACACTATTGCCGAAGTTCTGTACACGCCAACGTACCCCCA